GGGGAACTTTGTGGCATTATACCTTGCTGAGGTTTCTCCCACCTGCAAACCCTGCCACCCCAAAGCTGCACCCCCAAATCTCCAGGATTTTCCCAACCTGGAGTTGGCAACCGCAAACAATAGCCCTTGTCATGATGGGCTGAAAGTAGCCAGTTTTCAGCATTAAAAATTAGCCTATAAATACACGGCTTATTATCATATTAGTTTCCACCCCTGCCCCATGAGGGAGCTCTTTGCTCCTGTTTAACAAATTTAGGTAATGCTTCTGCAGTGCCTACCCACTATTGTCACTTTGGGTGGTGTGTGTTCAGGACCTCTCATGATTAAAATCACATCGAGGAATTATTCTGTACTGTGAGGAAGTCCCCCTTGCCGTCACATAATTTTCTTCTGGACAAATGAAATCAGTATGCAGATATATGATGGAAATGTCTCATGGGATTGTTTTGCTTACTCTTAATATAATGGGTGATTATGCCACAACCTGATAACGCCTTTTTGTAGAACTGAGCAGGTTTTCCCCCCTCCAGCCCATGTATGTGAAGGAACTCTCCAGTCCAGAGTACCAAGAAGACTGCATTAGGCAGGCTGTGACTCCATTTCTTCCTTCAGAGATGAGTTTGTAAAAGAGAGAAATCTACACCTCCTTGGAACAGAGAGACAGAATCCACTTCTGTCAAAAAGACGCTCTGTGGTTGCCAATTAGGTCACATAAAACTGGTCTAGTCAGTTTGAATCTTTCCAGGTAGTTATTTACAGGGCCCTGTGTGATAGGTTACTCAGTCAAGCACAGAAGAGCTGTCATACAAAGGAGAAAAGGATTGAACAGAGAGAAAATTTGAAGATCCTTGAAATTAAAGATCAAAAACTTGACGAAAGGAACTCTGGGAAATGGCTGGACCTTTTGAATTGCTGCCCTAAATGAAAATTTGAGAAGAAACTGACAATGCAGTTCCAAGGACACTTTTCTGGGAGTAAGCCCCATTTAATAGACTTGAGTAGACATGCTTAGGATCACTGTTTGAGTCGCTCAGGGTTTATAAGGCTTGGTGGAATAATGGGCAGAATTTGGCGTGGAATGTCTCTTGCACTCACCCTATCAAAATGACATTTCAGGAGAAGTTTTGATTTCCAGTTGTTATGCAGATCAATACTAGTGTTGAAGTTATAAATACATAAAGCCCAGCCCTATTCACCACTCACCAAGATCAACAAAATATTGTATTACAACTGGATGGAAGCAAAGGTCTTGGTATGGTCCCGCCTTCTAAGCAGCTCTCACACAGACCACGGGGTAGAAGGTTCTAGAACTTTGACAGAAATGAGGAACACACATACGTTTCCTTCATGATTGGTACATTGCCACACTCATTAGCCAGAGGCAGGGCAAGCACAAAGATACTGTGTCTGTCCATCCTTTAATTATAGCAGAGTACACCAGAGTCGAATTTTCTGTCTATCTTTCTCCAAGGCTTTTCACCTAACCTCTTTAGCAGAAATAGCTTATTCCAGCACTAACTTTACCAGTTACAATTCTTCATTTTGGTAAATGCAGATGCACAGGGCTTTCCCCCCCTGGAGGCATGTGCCAGAACGAAGTTCCAGAACCTCTTCAACAAAATTCTTTTAAAAATACTTTAAAGTTCCTGAGTTTTCAGTATACAGATTGAAAACTTCATTTCCCTCGTAAAAGTTCCGGCACCTCTTTTTCAAAAAAAACCCACAAAACCCTGCAGATGTACAACAATAGTTTACGCTCTGCTGCGTTGGCTGTGCAAAGATTACAGAAGTACTTTACTGCTTAAATTACAGCATGAATAAACAATTATTTCTACGTTATCTAGAGTAAGCATTCTTGTGTTTCATTCAGGAGTTACTTCCAAAACTTGCTATCTGTCCTAACCTCTGTGATAGTAACAGGAGAACAGAGAGGGAATGTGTTCACTTCTCTAGGTTCATACACAGAACAGAGCAACATGTCCACCAGGAGAAGGGATGTAAGGTCCTCCCTCACTTCAATTAATGTTCTAGAACAGCATTCCCCAATGGGCCCATGGTATCCATGGTGCCTGCTGATTTTTTCAGAAAGTAGGCGCTGTTGCATGGCATGGTTTATTACTGGCGGTCCTCATTCATAGGAAAGTGTTTTCCAAATATACATTAACAACTACAGGCAGTAGGGTTGCCAAATAATTTTCACTCACCGGCAGGGGAGTCCGCGTCCCGTCCGGGAGCAGTCCGCATGTGCGCGCGCCACCGCGACATCACCGGAAGTGACGTCAGACGCTACCGACGTTGGGGGCGTGGCCGAGCTCGTCGGGGGGGAAGATATGGTTTCCCCCCCCGACGAGCTCGGCCACACCCCCAATGTCGGCAACGTGGTTCCCCCCGAGCCCCGATTCCGGCGGGGCGGGAATCGGGGGCTCCGAAGCGGGGAGCCACTGAAGGGCTGGTAAGCACCCCCATTCCCTTAGTCAGTGTGTGGTTCCATTTGTCCTTCATGCTGTTTTTTTGTTGTTAATCCCCCCCCTTCTCTTTCTCCGTCACCTCAGACCTTCCTTCATTTCTTTTTGTTCCTCTTCTGTGATCCTTTTTCAAAGTGAAAAGGGAGGTATTACATTTGACTTCACTACCTGTGGCAGCCATTTGGGGCTTGGCTTCACCTTCTGCAGCAGCCATTTTGGACTGTGCTTACCAAACCCTCTCAAAATTCCAAAGGTGCCCACAGGCTGAAAGTGCCCACCAGGTCTATTTTGGGGCAGGAACGCACAGGAACGGAGTTCTGGCTGGCTCCCAAGTTGGCCACGCCCAGCAGGAACTCATTAGCATAATAGGCCACGCCCAACAGCAGAACCTCATTAGGATTGGCTACATTAGGGGTGTGTGGCCTAACATGCAAAGGAGTTCCTGCTACAAAAAAAGGCCCTGGGTTTTGACAACAAACAAGGTAAACAGAACAACAAGCAAAAGGTGGGTGTGGCTGGATAACCACACTTCTGGTAACATGTGGGTGCAGCCTAATGTGCTAATGAGCTGTGCTGTCAGGGGTGTGGCCCAATATGCTAATGTTCCTGCTGTTGGGTGTGGCCTATTATGCTAATGAGTTCCTGCTGGGCTTTTTCTACAAAAACTATTCTACCACTATTCTAGAATCTTCTTGTAATGTATCCTGTCCCGGCCACATGGCAGTCTAGGGCTCCACACGGTCAGGCAAAACCTTCAAGTTTCAATCATGAGAACAATGGACTATGTGGATCCTAGCCTGCACCAATCAGAGGGCTAGGCTCCCGGCCAAGAGCATGTGAAACTCTTGGCCACTGTAAATAGCCTATTGCGGTGTGGGTGGGTGTTTTGGGTGGTATGAGAGCTGTAATCACTTGTCAGTCTCAGTACTTTTCACTTCTGCTCTATGGATAAGAATACAGACTCCATATTTATGACTGAGCAAAGGGTACCTCAATAGAGGTACTTATTTTTTTTCTTTAAAATGTTTGTGGAACTGTGGAAAACACAGTAATTTTGTTTTCTGCCTTTTGGTTAATATAACATATCATCAAGTTTCCTAGCGGTAAAGTACAAAATATTTATTTAAACAATACAAAATTATTATCCTTTTTGTGTATGTAAAAAACTGGATTTGATTGCTTGCTATCATTCCTTACGTTTGCTCCACATGACAGCCCTGTGAACTATGTTAAGCTGAGGTCGTGAGTAACTTAAGGCCATCGTGCATGGATGAGTAGGGATTTGAACTCTGATCTCCGACTGATTTATAAATCAGGACCTGTCACAACTAGAAAGTTGCTTCTACATGTGCACATGGTTGTGCGTGCACTCAGTGAGGCTTTTACTGACACTCCCAGACTAAATTATCTGCCTGTATACAGAAGCACAAGTGGTTTTTTAAGGAGGGGAAGGGTCCAATCAGCCTCTAATGCCAAGAGCTTGGGATCTCTCTGCACCTGTAAGTCTTCTCACTTAACAGGCGATGCTATCATTCTGAAAATAACTCATCCCAGTGTATGTGAAGGATCCAGACTAAACTGCCAGATTCCACCAGTTCTCCTTTTGCACAGTAGAACCCACCCATGCCATTCCTCAGGGTCTCCCTGTCTGGCAGGAGCAGCATGTTGTGGAGATCAATGAGCTGGGGAGGGGGGCAGGAAAGTTCTGTTCCACTGCTAGAAAATTTAGTCTGGGTCCAATAGGTCTTTTAGATTGTGCCCTTAAAAGAAAGAGGTTTGCTATTGCTGAAAAACTCTAGTGAGGTCACACATTGAGAGCCAGCGTGGTGTACTGGTTAGAGTGCTGCCCTAAGATCTGGGAGATGCAGGTTTGAATCCCCACTCTGCCATGGAAGCTTGCTGGGTGACTTTGGGCCAGTCACACACTCAGCCTAACCTGCCTCACAGGATTGTTGTGAGGATAAAACAGGAGAGGAGAGTAATGTAAGCTGCCTTGGGTCCCCATTGGGGAGAAAAATGGAGTATAAATGAAGTTTTAAAAAAAACACAACACTGGTGGCTCCAAAGGTTTAGAATACTGAATTTTTCATATCAGACAGACGTAGGTTCAGTGCTCATATGAAAATTTGATATTACATTCATTTAAATGCAAACACTTCATCCTGTGGTTTTAAAGCTTCTCTTGAGTTTGAGGAAGGGAAGGAATGGTCTCCTGTCTCTCTCAGATACCCTTATTTCTAGCTGAAAAAAGAGCTTTTTGGATATGCTCTCCTGTGGTTTTTTATTTTATTTTTTAAGACATTCGGGAACTATTTTTGTTGCCACTGGGTTTTGTGATTGGCAGCAAGGTTTGGAAACCCCAAAGGAAACACCTATAAACTAGGAAAGAACACTCACAGAACTGTGAGAAAAGGTATGGGATTTGCTGTTTCAGAGAAGCCCATTAGGAAAGGAACTGTAAACTCTGGTTTGCTTTTGTTTTTTGTGTTTTACAGCAGAGATGAAACAGCCTCTTCTGTTTTTTGCTTTTTGTAGGCCTTTCATAGTGCTGCCGCCTCTGATGGAATGGATAAGAGTGGCTCTGGCTCACGCGGGGCACCGCCGCAGCTTCTCTGTGGATAGCGACGATGTACGGCAAGCAGCCAGACTCTTACTGCCGGGAGTTGACTGCGAACCTCGACAGTTGAAGTAAGTCGGTGCAAAGAAATAATATGATTCGATAATGTGACAGTTCAGCTATGTGTGCAGTGTGCAGATGTGCAAGCTGGGTGAGGTTATTTTTGCACGTGTAGCTTATAAAATTAGCAGCCGCATTGCTTTCACAGGGCTGTGTGAGACTCTGCAAGCCTCGTATGCCTGTGTGCTTAAATAGCTGGGTCAAGCTTTTCGTTCATCTTCTGTTTATATCCCTCCCCCCCCCCCCCCCCCCCCCCCACCACCACCTTTGCCATCGGATGCTGCTTTCCTAATGAGAGACTCGAAGTGCTCACCTAATTATCTCTGTCTCGCTGTGCAGAATTCGGAGGTGTTATTTAAAAGGCTGTAAAACTGGCTTCGCTCCATTCTCTGTTGCAGTTTAAATAGCATCTTCGCACCAAGAAGTACCTTCAGCTCCTGCTGTAAGATTCTGCTGAAGTAGGTTTTGGGAACAGAAGCTTATGCTGCTAAAGGCTTGGCATAAGATTTTAGTACAATGAGTAAGGAGTGGGCAGTGGTTTCCTAATCCTTCTGTAAATATGGATTTCTGCGTGTTTTATATATTTAAAGAAAAGCTTGATACAGCTGTATATGTGTAGAGACAAAAGCACTGGGTTTTGGTGCATACTTACAGAATGGGAGAAATGTTTGTTTTTACTGTTAATGGGGGATGACTTGTGCTTCAGCATCATGGACCTTTGAAAGCAGAAATTAGTCCTCCAGTTGTGGAGTAGCTCCTAAGCACAGAAGAGCTGACGTTCCTCTCTACCTTAGCATATCAGCCTATCGTCCTATATTATTTTTTCGCAACAGTTTTAACAATCTATTGCAAAAGATTCTCTTCTTATATGAGAAGAGGATAGCAACCTACCCAGTGCAAGTTCAGCTGTTTCTTGCTGCAAGGCAAAAGTAGTCAGTGCTTCTTGTGCTATTTGGAAGCAGAAGGCATCCTATGTCAAACTAGGCAATGGCCGCATGTCAATACTGATGAATCTGATAGAAGTCCCTTAAAATAAGTGGCACCTTAGATGAATGAGCCCCTCCTTGCTTTTCAGAGCATTATGCACGTAATAGATATGACCTTGTACCTCCTCTTAATTTGTGTACTTTTGGTCTCGCAGCCCACAAGCAGGGGTGAGGGTGGTTGGGGGGGGGGTTGTTTTGTTTTTTTGGCATTTACTCTTAGCTCTGTGTCTCACATATGTTTATGCATCTCGCTGAAGTTCCGGCAAATCTTATTTGTTTGTTTGTTTGTTTGTTTCAGTAGTCACCATTTAACTGACACAGTTAAGTCAGTAAATAAGATACAGGCAGTAAGTAAATAAGATAAGAGAGAAAACTAAAATAGGCTTCTGTATTTTATATACTGCCTGGTAGCCTTTACATTTACCTCAGTGCACTGTAGTGCTGAAACAGGCGAATTGTTGGAAAATCAGTGACTAGATCTTCTGCATGGTTGTCCATTGTAAATAGGGCTGCCAACTCCAGGTGGCACCTGGAGATCTCCCGCTATTACAGTTGATCTCCAGACAGCCAGGATCAGTTCCCCTGGAGAAAATGGCTGCTCTGGAGGGTGGACTCTATGGCATTCTACCCTGCTGAGGTCTCTTCCCCCCCCCCAACTCCTGCCTACCCCAGGCTCTGCCCTCCCCCCATGTCACCAGTTATTTCCCAGCACAGAGCTGACAACTCTAATTGTAAAAAGGAGCAGAACAGATTTTGAGTCCAGTGGCACCAGTAGTAGGAAACCCTGATGGGGACCATGTCTAGGGAGGGGGGATTTTAACTGTTTCTCCTCACAACATTTTCTTGACCTCAAATCAGCCTACCAGAATGATTATTTGTCTTTTGTGGGGAAGCATACAAGCACCAGAATGAGAATCTGTGTTTCCCCCAGTTAGGCAAAGGGCAGATGGGAGGGGGATTAAGTTTGTGACAACAGCATGTCTGGGGAGGAGTGGGGATTAAATCTTCTTCTTTCTATAGTCTCAATCTGAATTGGGGTCTCCCACAGGAATGTGGAGAAGAACCTTCCACAGAGCTTCCAGCGTCTTCTTTGGCTTGGCCTTTAGATCAGGATGTCTCTGCAGCAGGGTCATAACTGTGGAGGGCCTGTTGGGTGAGGCAGGGCTAGTCACTTCAGGGAAATTTCAGACCCTCTCCATGTCATTTTTTTTTAAAGTAGGTTTCTGTATGAAGAGTCATAAAGGAAAATAGGCAGGCGCTACTCTGCCCAGCTACTCAGTGTTTATCTATATTTATTCCATGCTTTTGTCTTCTGGCTCTCAGTATCAAGTTGATTTGTATATGAAGCTTCCAGTGTTCTGAACAGTGAGTTTATAAACAATGGTTAGATTAACAAGCTCCATTTATAAGGAATATTATTCAAATTAAAAATAGGTATTTCTTCCAGTATATGCCATGTTTAGTGTATTCATAAATGTTTTTTTTTAAAGGCAACAGTCCTAAAATCAAGAGATTACCTTTTCCCTGCCACTGTTTCCCTGGAAACTGGCATTCAGAGTTACACTGCCTCTGAACTTGGAGGTTCATTCAGCCATCATAACTAGCACCTATTGATAGACCTAGCATCTATGAATTTATCTTTATAAAACCATTGAAACTCGTAGCCATCCCTACATACTGTGGGAGTGAAATCCATAAGTTAATTTTGCATTGTGCAAAAGAGTACTTTTTTGTGTGTATCCTGAATCTACTGCATGTCAATTTTGTTGGGTGCTGCCAAGTTTTACTACTTTGGGAAGAGAGAGGAAAAGCTGTCTTGCTGTCCACTTTCTTCACATTGTTCAGAATCTTAGCAAGCTCTACTCTATTCCTCTTAAATCATATTTTTTTTCTAAACTAAAACGTTCCAAACACAGTTTTATGGTGAATATGCAGACTCTGTTGAATGTTATGTGTGAATCTTGCAAGTCTCAGAAACATGTTATGAATACCATGATTGCAAGTGGGACATATACTGGCTTGACTACTGTAACATGCTTTACACTGGAGCCGCCCTTGAAGACAGTTCAGAAACTTCAATTTGCGCAAGATACAGCAGTCCAACTGTTAGTGAGGTGGGCCACAGGAATCTATCACAGCTGTTTTGCAGTCTTTCCATTGGTTCCCTGTCTCCAAGTTCAGTTCAAGGTGCTGTCTGCTTTCTTTAAAGTTCTTCATTGCTTGTGGCCCACATACTTGAAAGACCCTTAATTCTGATATGAACCAAAGCAGCAACTTTGTTCAGCATAGCAGCATCCATTGGTCATCCCTAAATGTGACAGTACATTCTGTTTGCCTCCACAGTCAGAATATAGAGACAAGACACATTTGATGGAATAACTATGGGGCAGCTTTATTAAACTTTAAATGCAACTATTAAAATATGAAGTGGAAAGGGCCAACTACGTGAAAGTCAAGGCAAGGTTTTCAACCTTGTCCCTTGTCTTGATATGGGTGACTCACTCGCCCTCTGGTGCAGACCAAAATCCACATGGCTCTTGCCAGGTGGCTTGGGATGCCCCTCGAAGATCCCACCCCCCCAAGCCACAAAACTTGAGGGGAGGATCTGTTCAGAGGGTCTTGCAGGCTGCCTGCATTCCCCACTGTGAGCTTCTACCCTTAGTCGGGTTCTGCCAGACGTCCCACCCCCCAAGCAAGGGGGGTGTCTACTAACTGGTGATCACCAGTCGCTTAACCGATTTTGCCCAATTCCTGCCATGGTCCAGGGTCAAGCCTCTGCTTAGGCCCTTGCCTCCCCACACTGACCTAAGCCCTTGCCACAAATGTTCCAAGAAAATCCTATTGCCCCATTTGGAGAGATGGAATCCATCCTTCTGGTACAAGTGACCCAACTCGACTGTAGGAAAGACTGAGGAAGGAGGCCGGTGAGCAGAGCTATGAACTCAGTGGCTCTGCCCCCGAAAGCCCCGTATTGGTGAGAAGCACCTAACAGTCTCTTGCTCCTTCCAATGGAGGCAAAGGAGGCCCTCTGTCCTAAGCAGCTGCAAGGGCTGCTGTCCAGTAAAGACCGTATGCTCCACACTCACAGGTTCTCTCCTTAACTCCCCAAGCCCTATGGAACAGCCTTCCAGAAGGTACTAGAAATGTCCCCATCTCTTTTGCGATTTCGGAAAGTTTATAAAATGGAATTTTAAAGAGAGACTTTGGAGTTTCTTGAGGTCTTTTGTAGTCTGTTGGTTCTTAGGGGTAGGGGCCTCTTACAGATGGTATCTGTAAGGTTTCAGCTGACTGTTTTAATAGTTGGAAGTTTGGGGATCACATATGGGCACTTACCCAAAATATCATAGGTTTTGAGACACCAAAGGAGCCTAAAATATTTATTCATGTATGTATTTATAGGTTAGGCTTTTAGACTGCCCTCTCTTGTATACACAAGGCTCAGGGCAGTGAACAACAATAAAACACATTCATAAATAATCAAAACAATAAAATAATACACAGTTAAAACATTACCAGATCACACGAAAAACTTCAGGTTGTGCCACTGCCTTGCAGGGTGGGGGCAAAAAAGCAGAGGGGTAAGTGCCAGATGAGGTGGAGCCCGTCACTGTCCTCAGCCAAAAGCCTGACCTTGCAAGCCCTGAGGAACTGCATTGGGTCCCGCAGGGCATGGAGAGTTCCACCAGGTCAAAAAGGCCCTGGCTCTGTTCGAGGACAGCCAGATGTCTTTCGGGCTGGGAATACCCAGTAAGTTCTTCTCTGCAGAGCGTAGTGCTCTTCGGAGGATATACCAGAGGAGGTGGTCCTGAAGATACGTGGATATTGTTACTTGGCTATTTGAAAAAGTGTTGGATCTGGTGATTCTATGGTTTTGGATTGTTAAAGACATTCTGTCCATGAACTAAAAACAGATAGAGGGTGATTCCACACCAGTGTTCCCTCTAAGCTGAGTTAGTGTGAGCTAGCTCACTGTTTCTTAGCCTTCTGCTCACACATTTTTGTCTTCGCTCAGGAAGGAGGGCTCC